GAGGGGGACATTTTTTAAAAAATGTAAAAACAGCCCAAAAATCTTGTGAAAACCAAAAAGGACCAGGTTTTTTTTTTTTTTTTTTTTTTTTTTTTTTTTGCTTGTTTTGAGTGCTGCTGTGGTGCCAGGGACTTGCTGCAGCTGTTAAGTCAAGTAGTAATTTCTTCTTAAACTAGCAAAACAAACAACGAGTATGTCCCCTTAAAGTTTTTATTTTTATTTTGAAGTTTTCTTTAACAATATCTGCCCGATTTTTCCCCAAATTATATTATCATTGTAGTGGAAACCCCCCACATTGCGAAAGACCAGAGAAAATAACTAATTTTGGGTAGACTCTTCCTGTTGTCACCACTTAAGAGTTGTTTTGGCTTTCTTACCTGTGTTGGCTGCTATACCCTCGCGTAGAAAGTGGCCACTGGACAGGTACTGCAGGCCAAAGCTGTGTGCAATCCTCTTGCAGATCGTGCCTTTTCCAGATCCCGGTGGACCCAAAACAGCAGCACGCAAAAGCTTGGCCATATCCTGCTACAATAACAAAGAGTTCACAATGTAAAAAAAAAAAAAAGTATTTAAGGTGTAAGAGATGCTCCAGATTTAGGTTTGCACCAGAAGCACCAGAAATTTGTATTCTGCTGCACACTTGAACAACAAAAACAACGGTTTGGAACTATATTTTAGCGTGTCAGTGGAATCGTGTGGATCTTTACGCACTGCCTTCTCGTTGCGTGCAGCGGAACTGTTCCCCTTTTGGACAGGAACGAAGTCAAAACGCCTTTTTTTCCCTTTTCCTTCTCTCGCTCCTGTGGACGTGGGTCGCTCCCTGCGTCTTTAAGAACAGAGGTTGTCCTCCGCGAATGAATGAGAGTCTCCACAACGCCCTATTTTTTTGCGCGCATCATCCAGGAAAAATGCGGATGGGTTTACTTCGCTGGGCAAACTGGTTACTGTAGTTTTTTAATACAGTTTAAACAGTTTACGTAAGTACGAGAGTTAAGTGATTGAATTATTTTTACTAATCAATTATGGGAATGTAACATAGCAACACAATAAATCGAACGCGAAAGCTCCAAATAAGACAAAATAGAGAGAAAATCAAACGTAAACAATGGCAGAAAAAAAAAAACTTTGTAATATTTCCGGTATTGTCTGTGTCACTTCCTCTCACTGGAACACGGTATTGGCAACAGGAAGTAATACAGAAGGTAACCGCAGGTGTTTCAACTAGCATTTATTTTATGATAAATTTAATTTTTTTGAAAAATAATAAAGTTATTTTAAAAAAAAAGACTCATAAAATTATAGTTTACAGGGGGAAAAAAAGAATAAAAACATCAGGAAATGACACAATAATAGAGACAAACACTAGGTTATTGATTTTTGTCAAGTAAAATTTCCCCCATGAACATCAACAGCAGAACCATCACACTGATGCACATCTTTCTGCATCAAACTGTTAAAATGGTGAATATTAGAATCCCTTTGATAGTTGAACTCATTCTGTGTCTTGTAATTTTGTTTCCCATTTTGTGGTTTTTAGTTTTGCTTTGTCGTGTTAAATCTTGTTTAGCGTGCAATTAAATTACAATGAATTGATTCAAACTATTAGTACTACTGTTGTCATATTAGTATATTAGCAATAGTAACATAATTTAGAATACTGCTCCGGAGTGGGGAAATACAGGTGATGTCAGCAATCAAAGGTCAGAAGGCTCATGAGGACTCACACAAAGGTACAATACATAGAACTATGAATAAAAAATTAATAAAAAAAAACTGTCAAAGCACGTCATTAGAGAAGTACATATATATATATATATATATATATATATATATATATATATATATATATATATATATATATATATATGCTGCAGGAATGCTATTTGGGAGCAGTGACAGTTATAAAATCTTAAAAACTGCTAAGGGGAAGAATCTAAGATAATGCTCCTTTGTGCACCGAGGATGCAGCGATATGTCACTGAAGGAACTCTGCAATCCAGTCACGACTTCATGCATTGGGTGGGAGACATTGTCCAACAGTGATGTTATTTTAGTTAAAGTTCTTCTGTCTCCCAACCCCTGCTGCAGTGAGTCAATGGGGCACTCTGGGTCAGAGCTGGCCTTACTGATGAGTTTATCAAACCACTTCCTCTAGGCTGTAGATAAGCTGCTGCTCCTACATACACATAGAAGTTTGCTGATGCAGCACAGAATGTTAGTTTGTTTTCAAATAACTTTTATTTTAAATTCAAGTGAAATTTTATTGCACAGTTCTCCAAAATGTTGTGTCTAAACTTTTATTGAGGTAACTATAATCTGTTATTACATGTATGTGGCGTATGTGGCTACAAATTTTAAATTAAGATCATACATCAATCATTAAATAGCAACATCATGAAACAGCTTATGCAGAGGTTCTTACAGTTTAATTCAAAATCACAAGTATAGACATTTAAAATAATTCCAGACCCTATATCTCCAAAACAAACAAACAAAAAATATAAAATAAATAATAATAAAAAAAATAAGTTCCAATAAATGCACACATCTTCTTCCTTAATGGCTTCATCAATTATAGATTACACCATTAAACAGAGCTGGCCTGAAGCAAAAATGTAAGCTTCTGTTTTGGGCCATTATACCAGCAGGGAACCCTTTACTTCACACAGATTGTAAATAATAATGAGTTTACTTTTGAATTTATTTATGATTTTGAAAAACTAATTTGAAATTCTTTATATTGGTTTAATTTTATAATTGAAATAGATTTAATAAAAATGCAATGAGACATTTTTAGTGATAAACCTTTGGTACACATTTAATCTCTTCCACTCCTTTTGTGCTTCCAAATATATTTTTTAGGTTTTCAAAGAATATGCTTGCTTATCTTTTTTGCTGTCTACCGAAGATTACATTTTCAGGCTGTCGATGTAAGTTAGAATACCACAGTTTAAGAAATTAAATTTAAAAAACGAAGTTTGTATAATGAGTGTTATTTTCTGCTAACTTTAGTGACTATGGTTTACATGGAATGAAACCCAAATGTCCATTTTCTTTTAAAAGTTAAATATAACAAAACAGATTTTTAATGTTATTATGGCTTTCAAATATGGGTTTATGTTGAAGAATGTTAACTTGACAGTTTTCTGGACATTATAATTTGACCTCCACAATGAGAAGGCCAAAACAAAAGCTAAGCTGGAAAGGATCGTTGCTAAAGCAGCCAATAGTTCAGAGTGATGGATGCTGGAATATTAATGGGAAGTGGAAAGATAAACTGGCATCTAAAATGATTTACAGGCAACAGGTATAGCCACAGCCTTAAGAGAATTATAAAACAAAGCACATTCAAGAGTTTTTGGGACATACACAAGCAACTGGAGATTGAATCAATGTCTCAAGACCCACACAGCTGTAGTTCTGTGTGGTGGCTTCTGAACACTTAAGGTGTTCTTACTCTTACAAGAGTTTTGCTCCACAATTCTCTGGAAGATCATTTTTGACATGTTTTTCTTCCACTCAATTTTACATTGATATTCTTTTATCACTTTGTCAGCCTCTGTAGAAATGGACCTGCTAGTGTCTATAAACAGAACAACTGTCACGTCAGCAATCTTCCTGCTAATTTTGCACGCCATGATTTGTATGTTTTCTAATTTTTTAAGTCCGTTTATTTTCTTTTATTAGTTTCAACCCATAATCATTGAAATACACGTTGTGTTATGATTTTGTCTTTAACCTCTTATTAGGATGCACCTGTAATTAGACAGTAAATTAAGGATTCTCACATATTAGTGAGCTTTTCTTAGATGTTGCCACTTGTTGACAGAGCCTTCACAAGATCAGAGATTTTATTATATAAAGTCAGTAGATTTTTATTTTTGTTGCTTTGCAAACAGGAGGCGCAAAGAAAGGGAAAAAAACCGAAGCATGAGTCGGATGTCATTTGCGGACGGCAGGAATCCAGTGAGTACTTGTTGCGAGCCATACGGCGGCGGCAGCGTCCCGAAGCTGTCAAATATTGCGCACAGCCTCCAGTCGTCAGTCAGTGGAGTAACCCAGACTAATCCATCAGACAAACAACTCGAAAGATTAACCTTTTTTTCTTCTAACGAGTTTTTCCCGCTGTGATCGGAAGCTTCTTCTAAAATCTTGATACGTTTTTTTTCTTTTTTCTTTTGTCACATGGCTTTGAAGAATTCAATAACAACAAAAAATGGCGACAATCACGTTGCTCTGTGTGGTCTTGCTGCGTCATTAAAAATATTCATGTAAACACGGGGAATTAAACGAGTGGGTTGCAGGTAAGTTTGCTCCTTCAGTGCTACAGATTTAAAGGAAGTTGAATGTAATTAGGAATAAATTTATATATTTGGATCGAACCGCATGCGTTTTGTTTTTGCTCAGAAAAAAAGGGGTGTGTGTGCAATGCTGGGCGTTAACGTTTGGCTCCACAGTATTCACTGCAAGCGTTGCACTCTTATTTATTCGTTCTTTAGCATTTAGTTAGAATAGTTGAAAACAGTGTTATTGTTGTGTAGTTGTAAGAAGCAACTGTGCTAAACCTATATTTAGACATCTTTATTTCCTTTTTAATAAAGAGCAGCAACAAGCCTAGGCAGTTCTCCTGCTTTCCTTATAATTAGTACACGTATCATGAGGGTTGCTTTACTGTGGCTGTTATGAGGCTTTTATTCTTCTGTTATTTACATTGAGCGTTTACGCAACACGGACGCGCTTTCATCACAGGGTCTCTGTCTACATCACTGAGGACAGTGAGAATGTTGTGCTGTACCGAACCCCGACAGTGAGCTTAGTGCCTCGCTCTGTTTTAGTTGTTGCACATGTTGGCTTCGTTGCCCACGTTTGACACGAAGCGTTTTGGCCAGAGCCCTGTGCTGCGGAGCTAATGGAGTTGTTTACATGAAGTGCAGGAGGGCGGACCGAAGACGAAGGGAGGCGGGGTCGCGACGTGGGCCAGCGCCGCGCACCGACTGCTCCAGATGCGTCTCGCGCCAGGAAGGGGTGGAGCCCGAGACGAGAATCATAACAAGTCTGACGTCACTCAGCCTTGTGGTTGGTATGAATAATACACAGAAGTTTGTCTGTGGCCCCTGCAGGAGTAGAGAGAAGTAGGGAGAGGGGGGGGGAATGAAACGTTACCAGTTTTAGTTTTACATGAAGTGAAAACATTAACGAGGCTTCTGTACAGCAGCAGCACAGCAGCTCAATAAGCCGTTTACACGCCTTTACATTTTTATGTATGCGTACGTTTAGTTAGTTATTATACAGTCCTTTATAATGCTATTTATCTCGAATGTTTGTTGTTCACTCTAAGCCCTGCCCTTGAATGATACAGTGAATGTCTATATATTTTTTTTCTATATTAATATTAATTGATTTTATATATTAACTTCTATATTAATATTTGAATAAAAACTTTTGAAATGTTCTAATATTATGATCACCATCACTTGGGTGTACCTCAAGATTCATTGGTTATCTTCTGAAATATGTTGTTCGTATCTGCTTTTAATTCTGTCTACTTGTTGTTTATGTTAAAAGGAACAAACAAACAGTGTTATTGTTGTGCAGTGTGCTGACTAACATGACGATGACAAAAGGAGTGGGGCCACCGATGCTTCCAGACTTGACAGGCTGCCCTGGTTCAGTTATCACAGTGCTGATGCTGTCCCCATCGAAGGTACAGTACTGTGATAACTGAAGGATGGCTGCCAACTTGACACTGGTGCAGCGATCAGCAGGTGAGGAGCTGTAAATACGTAAATCTTTCTGTATGAAATCATTAAAAAAGTTTTAACACGACAGTGAACGTCTCTGTCTTTTTTCACAACTTTATTTTAACTTCATTTAATTATATTTTCTGAGATCATAAATGGGCTCATTGAAAAATGAAGAATAATTCATTAAAAAAATTCTCGCACAGTCAGAGCAACCAAATGTACCCAAGTAAAGTAAGTAAACAATTCAGTTTCAAAGTGCAAACAGTGGGACTTTAGAATTAAAACAAATACCACCAACTTTATTTGTAAAGCAACATAAAATGACCACAGTTGAAGCAAAGTATTGCACATAATTGTAAGCTATAAACATATGTTAAAAGTTGCTGTTGTTACAACTCATGTGCTTGAGGTTAAAGGGTGGGATGGAGATGTGGCTATGTCATCGTCTTCATATTCTTCACTGCAAAGTGATCACCTTCGAGGCCAAGTTTGAGGTTACTTGTTTTTCTTATTGCAAATGGGTGCACAATTAAATACACAAATAATACGCAAATGTAAAAAAATGTACATTTGAGCGATAATTATCTTCTCAAGAGTTTTCAATTTTGGAGCAACACTGATGTCTCCTAGAAATAAACATACAAATATCATAAGCATCACATCCATAGATAATTTATTAAATGTCAAAGAAGCAAAAAGCTAATAGCATTCAGGCTTTAACATAAAGTATGATTTCATCTAGCAGGAATTTTATTTATTTATTTATTTATTTATTTATTTATTTATTTATTTATTTATTTATTTATTTATTTATTTCACAGTTTGTAGGTATAAAACCAAAACAATGGTGGTCAGAGGGCTCTGCCCTCACCAGGCTCTGAAGATGTGTTCTGCATTGCTGTCAACAGGGGGAGCTCCAGCTTCATCGCACTTCTTCGTGTTCAGTTCCGTTGCACTGATTTGTCTTTAACGTCTATAATATATTTGAAAACAAATGTTTGCACTGTCGACTAATAGGTCAGTACTATCTGATCAAAAATGTGAAAAACCTAGTTTTATTATAAAAACAAGTAAAAATGATTTTCTATATCACCATTCAACAATAATTTTGCACACTCCTGCAAAATTTCAAAACAAAATAATTATTTTTTTTTTCTGCATAAAACACTATTTACCATCAATGTGCATATGTTTGTGGCATGGCCAATAAATTTGTACATGTCAGTACATCAGAATAATCAAACCATATGATATTTTTCTATAAATTTTAAGGCTGGAAAATATTTTTAAAACTCATCTGAGTCATGTTTTGGTCTGAAGGTTACTCTGCACCTGTCATTAGTTGTGTTTTTTACTGAAAGGATACACAGTGTTGATAGGTTGTGGAAATCCCCTCAGGAGTCATGATATATGTTTTGTTTTTGTCTCGCACTAACCCCAATCAGCTAATCGTGCTTCGAGCCGAATGTTTTTCTTACTCAGAGTCATGTGATAACATGACACTTTGCGGTGGAGGACATTTTTTGACAGCTAAATCCAAAAGTCAAGTAAATTTCACAGTTGTTAAGTGAGCTATTATCTCCAAAAAGAAAGCCACCACACACGCCTTAAATAATGATACACTACAGTACTATTAGCTTCTAAAAGTTAATTTGTCATTAGTGTCCAGGATCAGTTTGAGGGGGATTTTCTTCTTTACACTTCCTTTCGTAAAAAGCAACGAGTTGCTGCTGTGTTGTGGGATGTGGGCAGTCCCTCTCTGACACAAACTGGTCTTCTGTTATCTTATGAGGAACTTTCAGGACTTTGTTCTTTCGATGCAGGAAGACAAGTAGATTCATTTACCACATGTGCATTCCCTACATGTTGCTGGGAGTGGATACCAGATGACTCACACAGTTATCTGCTGCAGTGATGTCATCTGGTAAACTGTTCCACTTTGACTAAAAGGGGGAGGGGAAAGACAATGCAAACATATAACAAATTTTCCATTTTGTTTAATTGAACCTCATTTATTCTGGCTTTCATTAACCAAATTTTTATTTTCCCCCATTTTGTCAACTTTTCACCACAAACATTACAAGCAAATGTATTTCATTGAAATATTAATGACCAACTTAAAGTATTGCATAACTGCAAAACAATGGAAAGAAAATTATAGTTTTAAAAGGTTTTTGTAAATATAAATTATATGTTATATAATTATATAAATTATATGTAATATAGAATACGTACTTTTTATACATATATAATATTTTATATACATATATGTATTATGTGTATATTATATATGCATTGTATACATAAATATGTATATGTATATGTATTATACATATTATTCAGCTCTCCCTTATCATATTTAATTCTACGACTGAACCACGTCATCTTTCTGCATCTTCTACTTCACGGTTGTGCATTACTTTGTCTTTTATGTAAAATCCCTACAAAATATCAAGTTTTATGATTGTGATGCCATAAATTCTGAAAAAAAAAGAAAAGAAAAAGAAATTATGAATAGAGTTGTGATTACTTTGATAATATCATAAAGAACTTTTGGACCAGAATGAGATGTTTAATTCTCCACAAAGTGATCTGCAGATCATTCTGATTTTATTACTAGATATTAACACAATCTAAAATTAAGATGTATGACAGTGTGTAGTTCAAAAGGTCAACAGCCTTTTTATTCCCAACCCTAGATATTACAAAACATCCTCTTAAGTTACAGAATTATGCTTGTGTTAATTTGGTTACATGGAAATCCATTTCGTTGTGTCAGGACACCACTGACGCTTTTGTTTCATTTTTATGGCTTTAATGAGGAAGTTGTAGGGCTGCAGCTTATCCAGATGACCGAGAGAAGCCATACAAGGAAATCAGTCTGTCACAAGATTAAGACAACTAGCAGATTCAAACTCATCTAGTATCATTAATTAATCTAATAAATCATTTTCTGCTAGTAAAAGAGTTGAAAAACTTGTAGGAATAGATAAGCCAAACTCATCACAGTAAAGAACTTATAATTTTCTTGGTTTTTATTTGTTCTAATTCTTTATTTTCACTTTTTGTGATATCACACATAAATTTGACTTGCTCAGTTTTTAAAAGAGAACCAATCTTCATTTTTATACATCTGTGACTCATTAATGGCAATGTTCTATATTTCCTGTTAGTGACCTTTTAAAATGGAATACGGACATAATGAAACAACACTGTGTCTCTGACAACTATTGCTGAAGATTTTTTAATGACATTCAAGCAAAAATAGAGGAAATCTTTAACCAGATTTAGGATATAGTTTCTAACCTGCCAAATTTACAGGAATTTATGGTATTTATATTTAAAGTTTTACAAATGCACTCAATGAATAGGACGTTACCTTGTGACATCTAACATAACCACAAATATGTTTTAAATTACTAAGGCAAAAGCCCTGGAAGATCTTCCTTGATGATTTCTCACCTATGGGATGGAAAAGATGATTAACAACCCCTCATTACTTAATTTTTTTCTGTGCAAAAGTCCATTGTAGTGATTTTTTTTATTTGTTCAACTTGCTAGTTATAAGATATGGTAAGTCTTTACGTCACCAGGAAAATTACTAGTATTGATTTACACAAAGGTCAGACTGGGGAACTTTATGAATACATACTAAAGTCTAAAGTAAAAGTTTTTGTTCTCAAACTCACAGTTCAAACTTAACTTTTTGACATTATTCAAGTTTATTTAGTTGACCCTCTGTTCTTCTGGAACTTATGGCCACCTGAGGAAAGCCAGCAGGTTCCCAAAGATATTGATGATATGGGGCTGATTGTCAAGTGAAGAGCAAAGCAAATGAAGGTCATTATAGTAAATGGACAAATGGCGATGAACATGTTTGAACATTTTTGGAAGTAATTCCACCAGACGAAGGTGTAGTAATCTTTTGAAATGATGATGATGCATCTTTGTCACCAGGCAAAGTTAAATGGCATGGCCAGGAAAAGAAATGTTGGAATTAATGGTGTGCTGGGTATCAAGGCATCCCAAAGTTTTTCTTACTGAAGCCAAAGTGCCATTGTTAGAATAGAATAGAATAGAATAGAATAGAATAGAATAGAATAGAATAGAATAGAATTATCCTTCATTTGTCACACAGTACAAAAATTCCGGTGTACCAGCAGCAAGGTAAATGGAAGCATGCTTTTACTGTAAAATCTCTTAGAATAAGAGACTTTACAGTAAAAGCAACTTTACAATGTAAGAAAAAAATGCTCTACTGTTATTAAAAATTACAAGCTCAGAAATGAACAACTGAGAAGGATAATTAATAAATGTGCAATATATGTATATTTCTGCACAGAAAAACAGAAAACTATTTACAAAAATAATGAAAAGTTACTGCAAAAAACAGAGTATACATCGGTTTCATTAATCACTAACCCTAATCTACATGTTGCTGCACACTGCAAGACAACTGCATGTAAAAAAGTATGATGCAGTTTTTCCTGCTTAGAAGAGGAACTAATTCAGTGTTTTGGAAAAATGTATTATCTCAAAGAGCTAAGGCTCCAGCTGTCTTAAAACTGGGGAGGTTTAAGAATCATGTCTTGTTAAAGAGCCAACTGCAGACTGGCTGCCTAAGGAGACAGCCTGACTATTTTTAAAAAATCATATTAACTCCCCCTTGTATTAATTTATAAAGAGCAGAATGTAAAATCTACAATATTCTTTGGAATTAGTATAGGGCAGAGGTTCCCAAACTGTGGGGCGCGCCCCCTAGGGTGGGCGCCGTCCCATTGCAGGGGGGTTGGAGGGGGCAGGAAGCCGTCTGGATGAAAAAAAAAATTAAAAAAAACATGAACCCTGTATGCGCTGGGTTTTCACCTTAGAATGGCCAACTCTCTGTTATTCCTACGTCAATTTGATGCAGTAGGGGCTTCCACACTTCCCATATCTGTGTCCTCTGTCACTTTTATCAGCAGTTAAAACTGTTTAATCCGTTGTTAACATGTGGTAACCTGTTTTTCCGAACCGCCTTTAAACGCAACATGAGCGCGACAACACTCGCGCTGGGTTTACACCTGTGCAGCAGAAGGAGACCTGCTGCTGCTGTGCAAAGCTACGCAGGTTTGTGTTAGAATCATGGCAGCAAACCAGCAAAACGCAAAGAACTTTTCACAGTTTTTCTCCCAAACTAACAGACTGTTGAGTAAAGCTGTTGGATGCAGGTGAAGTTAGCTAAAAGATGACTAGCTAATATCAAGCTTAATAAGTAGCCTGTAGGGTACCCATGTTGTCTATGTTCAGCTACATACATTCATTTCGCCCCCCTCCCCTCCCCCTCTCCACCGCCTTCTTAGAGTCAGGGAGTCTCTAAGAATCCTCTCCCCCCCCCCCACCCCTCGCACACGTCGTTTAACGAGTAATCCATAGGGGGGGCAGAAAATGTTTGGAAATCACTGGAGGGGGCGCAGGAGAAAAATTTTGGGAACCCCTGGTATAAGGTATGTTTAGTAAAGCCAGAATGTTCATTTGTAAAGTTACTTGACTGAATATACTCAGTGTTTGTTTTTTATTAGTATTTTGTTTTATCATTATTAATTTATGCTTTTGTAAACAGCTGATTGAACAGCTGTTTGAATACTGGTTGTCGTTAAAAAGTGCAAATAGCTTTAAAAATCAAGGTTTTCAACGAGTTTCTCTGTTTAAAGGGTTAATGTCGTCACCGTGATTGACGGGTGTATTAGCCAATCAGCAGCGGAGTTTCACGGCCAGCTACTGCGTAACTTTCGGGAAAGGGTTGTTAGTTGTCAGGAAGGGATAGCAGTCGGTGAGGAACGCTTCTGAGTCTTCAATTGACTACCCAATATTAAAACAACCTTCGATATTCATCTATTTGGATACGGAAATATATTGGGAGCAGGTTTTCGAATCAAACCGATGAAAACGGATACAGGAAAGCCGCTGAGAAAAGCATAAACTCCGTCGAATCGTCTTAACAAATGTACTACTAAACGAAAGGAAGTAACTTGCCATACTGGCGAAGCTCTTTAGGTGAGTAAATGTCAGTTTATTTAATGTTTCCAATGGAAATAGCCGATGACTTTTTGTCAGTTGAAAACACCCACACGTTATCTCTCTTTCCCCTTTATTGCTTTGTTAGAACCTTGCTATCTAACACGCCAATAAGCTAAGGTTAGCTAACAAATCTACTTTCGATCACTCCGTCCATTTTCTCTGCTCTGAAGGCAGATAACGTCTTCATGCACGGTTAACCTTTTTTCCTGAATATCTGCAGACAGCAAATGTTGACAATCCATATTTCAGAGAAGGTGTGAAGAATTGAATTCTGGGTTTATTACAGTTAGGTTTTTAGTTGTGTAAAATTATACAATTTGAAAGTGAAAACAAATGTTGAAAATTCACTCCACCCTGTCATAGGTATGCATTGTTACATTACAATCCTGTCTAAAATATAAATATGTTTTTGCTTTATTTTTTTATTTTGAGATGGCTACACAAAAATTCAGCTTATGGGAATGATGTTTTGTGACTGAAATGTATTACTTTCCATACATAGTTATAAATGCTCTGTTGGTTTTACTTTACCCTCTATCTCAATCCTATAATGAAAGAGGCAGCAATATGACATTTAAATTAAACTGTAAAGAAAAATGTTTTTATTTAATTCTTATTAAATATCATTTTGATCCCTTTTAAGTAGTTTATTATATCTTTTCTGTTTCTGTCTTCAGTTTTAAAATTAGTTCCATTTTGATAAACATTTACAACTGAGACGGATAACATTGACTGGAAGCGCAAAAAAAAAAAAAAAAAAAAAAAAAAACCCCAGACCAAAAAATGCCAGTGAAGCGTGGGCGGTTTTGTAAGTTGGAGTTTGACAACCTCATTACTAGGAAAGAAGCAGCATTGTGTAAAATATATATTTTTTGTCCGTTAGATATTGTTTATATAGACTTTAATATAATTCCTTGTCAGGAAAAATATGGGTCTCCTTTTTTATATAGTTTTTAAAATAATTTTGATTTAGTTGGGCAGACAATATGTCATTTTTTAGTTGTGAAATTAAACAATGAACATGAACACAGACAGATTTTTTTTTATAATGTGTTAAAGAAAACTGCCATCTAAGATATTACAGCTTCAGCAAAAATATTTTCTCTCTGCTGTTTTTTTCATTTCATTGGTTTAGCAGCTCTCAAGTTAGACAATTTGTTCCACATTTTCACATAATCTGATGAAAACTCAAAATGAACATTATTGTTTTAAGATCCGTAAGTGTTTAAACAAATTTTTTAAACAAAATAGTTTGTTTTGTTCATGTTTCAAGACAGTGATTATTGTTGTTAATGTTTTTAAATCAAATAAAACATTTTATTTGATATTTGTTACATACACGCTTACAACATAAGTTGTACTGTTAAACATACAAGTAGTATGTTTAAAAAATGAAATTTAATTCAATTACATTTTTTCACCCCACTGACATTCACCTAGTAGACTTAAAATTAAACTTAACAAATACTTTATTCTTATTTTGATTTTTACACACAAATATAAAATGTATATAAATTATATGGAAATTACAGAAATAAATTGCTTACATGTTTATATTTTATTTATGTAGGCCTTTCAAGACACCTATGGTCATGGTACAAAGACAGGAAAGTGATCAGCACAACATTGTAAAACAGTAAATTGCTGGGTATCATAAAATGGCGTGACATGCAGCCCCAGTAATTTTACACTGTTGCCATGCTTTAATATTTTAGTTGGATTTTTATATCACTGTATATCAAATCTTTTAATCCTAATTCAAGTCCATTTTTTTGGACTTGAATCAACATAGTTGTCATCAACTGAAGCTGTTTTCACAGTGGCATCGAGACCTGTGAGAACTTTATTTAATGTATGCTTTTCATGACCGTTTTTACACTAAGGAGGATTGACAGTTGCATGGCTTTACTAAGTAGCAGAAGGTATTAAATCTGTTCAGATAAAACTGCAGCATGTTTGGATTGATGTAGACCTAATGGATTCAATTTGAATATGATAGAATGTGATCTGATTTGAATCAAACTTTCTCGGTTTTAGTACACTGAAAAGACCATTGGTTGTGGTTTATATTCACTGAATTGATAAAATGCTTTAAAGGAACACTTACCAAGGCATAAGGGAGTGTGGGGAGCGATTGATATTTTGGGAGTAAAATGCTTTCCTTTTGTTGCCTGATGTATGACATGCGTTTTATTTGTTCAGAAAGATACTTGCTGTATTTCTGGTTTCATAATATAACAACTGATGTATTGGATTGCATAAAATTGGGGGAAATGACCAAAAGAGTTCTATTATTGTTGAATATTGTAATCAGTAATGAATCTACTACAATCTAAAAGAAGAACATTTTCCTTTTTCCAGTACCACAACAATCAGCCAGTGCTTTTTAATTTTAACATATATTTTTTCAGTGCTTTATTTTCTCTTGTAGTTTATCCTAGTACATTCCTTGCACTAATTACAGTCCTAAAAGGTTAGCAAAAATGATGTGTATGGGCAGCAAGTGACTTTGCAAATCTCCATACTGTTATTTGCCCATTTCTCAATGTGTAGGACTTTTATTGAAAAATGGCTTCACATTTCATTTTCAGTGCCAGGGAAACACTAAAGGTCTGGTCTTGTGCTCGACTGTGTTCTATTCCAAGCCTCAAACTAAGGTTATATTCATATTGGGAACATTTAACAGGAAGTTGCTGTGTCAAGCTTATTGATTCTAAAGTATTACATGTTTTAAAAATGGACTTTTCTGGCATATGATCATATTTATATAAGCTTTTTAGGTTTATCCACAGAACAACAAGGTATGTTAATTTACACCTTACGTGTTTTTCTTTTAATTAGTATATATTTGGGCAACTCTACTGTTCAGTCAGTGGTTGTAATACCCTTAGACCTTACAATCTAATAGTATTGCATAAAAGAGATATAATTTCTCTTTTGTACACATCCATTAAGAACAAGACTACCCTCCACTATTTGCTATTTGGAAGCCATTTGGACAGCTCAGGCAGCACTTTTTATCTTTTGCAAATGTTTCTACAAATGTCCCTTCAACAAAGATAAAAAGTATCAATTCACCTTTTTCAGATTCTGCATTTTGTCATTTGAGCTGGTGTTGTGGGGTTAACAGTTTGAGTACAAATCCCCCAGATCTCTTACTGCAAAAACTAATTCTTCTAGCTTTTCTGGACGAATAAACTGCACGGCAGCCAACTGAGACTTTAAACGTTGAATTAGTCATGTTCTGCTGCTGAATGCTTACTAGCAGACAGATGTGTGTCACATATTAGTCAAGATGGAGGTCTTTTACGTCTATTGGGCCCGTGCCTATTTGCTGTTCAGAAAATTTCTTAGATAATATCTAAAATATGCACAAGAAAATGAAGCTTAAGAAGCTGAAGTCCTTTGGCACAAAGCTATATACAGTTTGTAGGAACACCGTTCATTTTCCTGGGTGCTGATTGGCTGTACCCCTAAGAGTGGAGATAAGGAAAACTATGGATGCTAGCTACTGCTATAGTCTTAAGACGGTTTCCACTGTTAATATAATTGCATATTAATATATATTTGATGTTTGAATTGTTCAAATAGATGATTATAAGTGTTTTTAGAGGGGGTATGAAGTATTCACGGTTGGCTATGGTCTCTCACCCCTGTGAATGCCAGGAAATGGCTTATAAAGTGTTTGAACAAATGGTAAATTGATAGCTTTCCTGGTCAGCGATCTTGTCATAACAGAAGGTGCCAATACTTTGATGTCAATCTTGTATTTAGTTCTCTTCCCACTTGTAAGCAAAATAAAAACTGTTTATAACCCTTATGCCAGTTTCATTTCCCTGTGTTGGCACTACCAAGGCCTTTGCCTCAGATCACTGCAAAATCTGCAAAGCAGCAGATCTATATAGCGCCTCACACAAGTTGTGGCTTCACAGCAGGTTTGTTGAAGGATGGTCCCTTTTCTTTTTGTAAAGCTTTGATCTGCTGATACTGATTTTAGCTGATTCAGATTTCTCTTTGATACCTTTAACACCACAAAGTATAACAGCACTCTTAACACATTCTTACGGGGAAATTGAGGGGAAAACGTGCATCAAATGGCCTGAAACCAGGATTTGAACCTTTGATAACCACATTGAGAACTATAGCCTCTGCGTATGGTGCGTGTGCTCTACCAACTGAGTCCAGCACCTCTAGACCTGTTCTGTTGATTAAAACTGATGGTTCCTGCCTGTTTGCATATTGGTTGTGCTGCACATCCAAGTGCTAATTTTAGCTCAAATAAGTGGCTTCAGCAAACAGCACTGCAGGTGATAGAGATTGAACGTTTTAGCGTATACAGCAGTTTGCATTGTTGGCAGGCAGAGCCGGTGTAGTTCAGATGAGCGTTGTCCTCTGATCTGCTCATTGCCTGCAACGACTGCATCATCCAGACATATCAGTGAACAGGGCAGCTGCGTAAAATCTCACTTTTTATTCCTTTCTTTTTTTGTGAGGTTGTAACTGCACAATAACAACATTATTGATCAACTGGAGAAAATTATACATAGTGTATTAGGTATTCTTCAATAGGAATGCATGGAGTATAGTTGATTATTTTCCCTTTTTATGTAATGTTTTTCTATAAAATGTCATTGAAATATAAAAAACTGTGTGGTTTCATGTTTTTTTTCTGTCAGGCTCAGGCAGCAAGAAAAGCCCAATTAAGAGCTGAATTAAAGAAAAATTAACAAATTATGATTTTTTTCTGAATATAGCTAGAACAGCTGTTTTATTTAGTGTTATTTAGTTTTTATTTTATTTATCTACAACACTGCTAGTCAGAGAGAAGCGTTACCATTAGCTGGAAGTTTAGAAGGGATGCCTTTAGTATCAGTATTTGCTTAACCAGAACTACACTAAAACTTTTTTTTGTTTGCAGTATCTATCCACATAGCTTGTAGTAAATTAGATTTAACTTCAATTTAAGCCAATTAAGCTTTTTTAAAGCAGTACTGTGTTTGGGTAGCAGATAATCAACTTTGTATTTGGCTAATTGAAGTTGCAAACAAGTAGCCACAATTGTCAGTAATTGTTGAGCCTGAAAATGTGTGATTGTATCTAATCGTTATTTAACACATGAACAAGTGGCAACAAATATATCTGCTGCTATCAAAATAATGTCACATAATGAATACTACAGCTATTGGTATAATATTTATTTGTAGTTATACTCATTTTGATAAACCATCTGCTGAATTAAGTAATTTTCAAATATTAAAGCAGAAATACCCTACTCTGTGAAAAACAGTAAGCTGTTATCTGTTGTGACCAGCTCAACACCATTACATTTTAAAATGGAGATGGGTGGTGTGCCATTAGTTTTCACGCAATGATTGTTCATTTTCTGAGCAAACGTAAATATTGCCCAACAAATGAAAAGTGTGGTTGATTGTAGCTGATCTTGAGTGTGCAGGAACAGGATTGACTTTACTTTGTGCTCCATCCTGCCAGAGAATTTACCGCCTACCGTTTTCGCTGCCATCTCTTCAAAAGGACTGTCAACTTTAGAAACATGAGATTAAGGTTTTACAATTTTGGAACTGTAACTTTTTAAAATCTTGGTACATACTGGCAACAGGTCTGTGCCTAATAAGGACAAGAGACAACTCCAGACCATTTTGCACATATTATCTGGTAGTACTAGTAGTTCCTGTAAGTTGATTTCAAAAAGACTGTCAACATTTCCAACAAGAATATAGAATGAATTGTTGCTGTGTTTTGACTGACCTCTTTCCAACATATGAAAACTTTCAAGTGCCATTGTCTGTCTGCAGCTTAGTAGAGACTGAACATTGTTTCCTGTTATTTTGGTGGGAAAAATGAAACTAGTAATTGTAATGCGCTGTACATCAAAGCGCATAATCGTGAAGTAACGGCAAATCTTGCTCTTTTGAAGCCATTGGTTGTATTTGGTGTCCATTTACACGGTAAAGGAAGAGGTGACATATTGTAACAGGTTGAGTAACCTGCTGTTTGGAGGAAGATGACTCAGATATTCTCTTCTGAAGAAATTCATCTGTGGTGGTTTCTGACTTTGTTAGCAACGTTCCTTTATGTGAATGTCTGAAGTTTGTGATGAAAAAGAACAAAGAATGCTCTTTTTTTTAAAATTATATTTTATAGCTTCTTAGACTTTTAAGACATTTACTTAGCTTAGTTGGGAAGAACAAGTTGATAAAATGTGAACCAAAGCTTCTTTTTTCCAGTTACGTTGCTATTGAGTAAAGTACTATTGATTCTTCTTGTATTTCAGACTTTAGTGGGTTTTTTTCTTATATATGCTGTGTCATCATACAAGCCCTGATGAATGTTTTAACCAAACTCAATATATTTAAAGAACTAAATTTGACTTGCTATTTATTTAGTAATGTGCTGCATGGGAAATTTACCGACACTGGGTGTAGAATTAGGTGAGCGGTGGTTGCAGGGGAATCAGAGTTTAGAAGTATAAAATGTACTAAATCTAACAAGTACATTAACAAGAACCTGGAATTTTTTTAGTTCCTTGTTTTGGACTATCTGACAAATGCCCCTGCTGAGACATTGTTTTTTTGTTGCTGAAAGAATGTGTGCTATGCAGTTTTGGTCATGTACCAACTGTCTCTCTGCACACTTTTTTTGTGCTGTTTTGCTTGACTTTTTAGTTTTTCTCAATAGAAGGATGGTCATCTAGCTGTACAAATTGCACACCAAGTGCTTTTACTTTGTACTAAGCTAACCACAAAGTTGAGTGCTTGGATTGAAAGGATGGCTTTAGATCGTATTGTAGTGGTGAAATCAATAATGGAATATAAAAATATAATAATCTGTCACATGTTTATTTGTTTTTGTTGGCGTCCTGCTTAAATAAATTAATCAAAACCAAGACCAGCCTCCCATTTTCAGAGTCTATTTTGTAAAAAGCATGTTCTTTGATGTGCTTTGTTGGAGTTTGGTACAAACTGAATGAAGGATAGGGATTATACTTTAGCATAATGGGATACAGTCTTGTGAAACTCTTGTTTTTATTTCTGATTCAAATTTATGACCTCTATTGAGGAAACAGACTACTTTTTTTTACTTTGTTGTCATCCTTATAAAGAGGACAGTCCTGATATAAAGCTAAAAACAGAAACCAGGAGAAGACTAAAAATCAGTTTATAATGACTTTAATATTTGGATTTATTTGTTGTTATATCCAATAAATCATAAAATAAAAATGCTTAAAGCCAGGAATCTTGTTGCAGAATAGCCATTACATTAGCCTTGAATGTTGTGCCTGACTTGTATCATTTGTTTCTCACTCCATGTCCTCAGAATCTGAATGTCAACTTCATTTGTGATGGAGTTGAGCAGGCAACTCTGTATGAAGATGAGGAAAAGTAAGAAGACCCAATTTTCCTCCCTTCCTGCTTCTACTTTGGGCCTGGAGATCCACTTTTACATACCAGAAATACGCCACCTGGAGTACATCAAAGGAACTTACACAGCTGAGGAGCTGTGCGTCACTGCTGCCAAGAAGTGCAGTAAGTAACTTCCCCATTGTTTGGTTCAGTTCTACCTTTTTAGAACTGTAAACCTGATATGACATCAGGTTTACATAACCTGACCTTTATGAAATGTTACATTTCACAGGTTTGGGGCTTTAATATGAACTCAGACTGAAATTCGAATTCTGATGCAAAAATCTATAATGCTTAAACAGTTTTAAGGCACAACTTGACATATTTCAAAACAAATTGATAAGAAACCATGCAACACTGTGGAAATGCAGTAAAGTTGTACAGTGGTAATAGCCAATCAAAACAAGTTCTTCTATCTATTTGGGTATGATGCAAAAGAAAAAAAAAACAAACAGAAAAAACATTTTCTTTAGAGTTTCTGGAAGAATGATTAAAACTGACTTAATTTGAGTTTAAGTTGAGGTTCCAAACGCAAATCTTTTCAACAATCTTTATCCTGAGTACCATATTTTCCGGACTATAGAGCGCACCTCACTATAAGCCACACCCACAAAGTTAAAAAAAAAAAAAAAAACTGGAAATGTACATAAATAAGCTACACTGGGCTATAAGCCGCTGGTGTCTCCGCCGCTCTCGGTTCTTGGTTTTCCTATAATTCTTAATAAATCTAAGTTGAAGGCCAGATCGATAGCCTTCAACTTAAAATTGCATCATATGAACTTCTTCGTGTGGTTTCCATGATGAGGGAGTATGTGTTTGAAAACATTTCTCTGTCGTGCCTACTGCTAGCATGTGCTTGTTCTAAATGAAAATCAGCACTTTCTTCTTTGATTTCCAAATTTAACTTCCAATGATTCACTTCCTGCTAAAGAGCCCCCTAGTGGTTGAAGAAAAGTCCACAGAAAAGCAGCACCAGGCTATAAGCAGCATGGTTCAAAGTGTAGGAAAAAAGTAGCGACTTATAGTCCGAAAAATATGGTAATCAGACATTGAAGTAACTAGAGTTGACAGGAGGCTTGCTACCTGAACAAATAGCCTGGATAACCAGATAATATAGTTCTGTTCCATTGTGATACCTTTTTAGGAACAAAATGTCAATAGTTAATATTCTTTAAATTATGAACCTAAAGAGTAATATAAAATTTAGTGGGTTAATTTTACTGAATGTTGTCATACTGTCAAATTGTCATACTGGCCAAAGCCTAATTTACAGTCGGATATTCTGAACATCTTCCAACAGCTGATAAATGGTTGTGCTGTTTGGCAAAATCTGCTTACCTTTTGCTTGTATTTTTCTATTGTTCACTTCATTTAAATTTATTGCCTTTTGAAATATAAGTACAGTCATTCAATTAATAAACAAAACTGGACTCTAAACATGTCATAGAAATTCAAAATAGAAAATATAAGAAAATAAAATATAACTGAATTGGGTTTCTTTGTACTTAAAATATGCTTTAGAAAAATCTTTAAAAATATTTTATATCTAAGAGAGAGCACTTGATACAAATAAGAATGATTTGTAAGACTTTGTGAATTTGTGTATTGATTAATTAGTTCATCTTGCTTTATAGGCTGATTGATCTGTGCCATGTAGGTGCTCTTTCTTTCCTAGTTAATCATTTTAGCAGTTAGTGTTTATCTTTTATTTCTTCTCTCTTCTTTCTTAGCCATTTCTCCATTGTGCCATAATTTGTTTGCCCTTTACAATGATGCAACTGGCACCTGGTACTCTCCAAGCCACGAGTTTGACATCAAAGAGGACAGCGGTATCAAGTTGCACTATCGCATGAGGTAAGAATGAGTTAGCAGCCATAACTAACTGTGTTGGATATTATGTTTTCATAGAACAAAAGTGCTAATAGCTCTTGCAATCTGGCCAACAGCTCTAACATTTCACTGGGGTTCTTGACTTAATTTATTGAACTCAAGAGCTTTGGAAAAATATATGGATGCTGCACCAGTCAGTTTGAACTGCATTGTTTGTTTAATTGAAAAAAGAAATCTGTGTAATGAATTTCTAAACAAATCGGATGCATTAAAACCTTTTGGTAATGTTTACACGTGAATGTTTACATAGGAACATAATTAAGACTTAACAAGATTTACTGTTTTTTTTTGTTTTTTTTTTTTCCCTGCCTGGAAAGGATCACATTAGGAATGACCAATAATCAAATGATTCTAATTGAAGCTTGCACTTTCACTGCTTGTTGCTCACCTTTGCAACAATGTGTCTGGGAGGCTTACTACTTTGCTGATAGAGTAGTTTTTCTGAACTTTTTAAGTTGCTATCAAACATTGGTGTCGCAGCATTAGCATGTGGGATTCATTTACAATGTGGACACGGAGTAGAATGGGACTCCTCTCTGCTCTGACTGCAGGCAAGGTTTGCAGCAAGACAAACATGGAGAAGCGACATTCAGTTTTTATGCTTCTTTAATCTGGAACAAACTTCCTGAAAATTGCAAAGCAGCTTAAATACTGAGTTCTTTTAATTCAAGGTTAAAAAAAATCACTTTAGAGATGCATTTGATTCATAATAACTGGAACATTGATCAATAAATTTGATTTGTATTTTTCTGATGATTTTGATAATGGCATTTTGACTAAATGTAATATTTCATAATTGGTTGTTGTATTAAGTGTTTATGGTGTAAAGCACTTTGAACTGCGATGTTACTGAAATGTGCTATCCAAATAAGCTGGTCCTGCAGAGCAACTGGTGCTTTCACATGCTGTCACCAAAGTCTTGCTAGATTTTTTGCTTGTTGCTTTTTTGAAAATAAATAAATAAATAAAAAATTTGCTTGATGGTTTGAAAAGTCAGTAAGTACAACAGTCCGTTCCCTTGTCCTGATTACGTCCCCACTTTGCCCCTTCCACTTAGTCCGACACTTGGCCTGTTGGAGCAGTATAATGTGAAGTTTTATTGTTTTGGTATACCTTGATGCCAGTGTCTCGCCCATGCCTTGATATTTTATCTTAGACTTGACAGATTAAAGTCTCAAAGTTTTAAATGTGATTCCAAGATTAGAGTCCAAAGTCCAAATTATGGATTGATCAGACTAAATTGCTTTCTGCCACCATGTTTGGGGCGAGTTTTTGTAAGAATTCAACTTAGAAAAAGTTGAGGTCTTATACTGACAAAGCAGTGTCATGTTTACACTTGACTGGAATACTCTTTAAGTTCCCCTTCAGATATTCCAATGTACTAGTTTGGCAGCATGTTATACAGAAAGAAAAAATATTTTACTGTGCTGTCAGTCACACTTCCTCTTTTGCCATGCTTGCCGCTGTTAAAAGCTGAAGAGAAAATTGCTTGTGGATGGAGCTGAAGTTGAGTCCGTTGAGTTTATTTATGTACTTACTGCAGTCTGTCTGTCTGCACTGCACCTAAGTAAACAAAGCTAACAAACCGTGTATTATGGTTGTGTGTCCCAATATAAAAACTTTTTTTTGCATAAACAAATATTGGTTTCGTGCAACCAGCATGAATTTCTAACTGAAGTAGCCATCTCTTAGGGTGAATGTATGCAGAAAATCCCTATGAAGTGCTACCTATAAGAAGATTGAATATTAATTTTAAAGAACTGTCTACTGGCTAACTGATTTCCTATTGGTTATGTATATACAAGTAATGTGTCTTCAGATCAATGCTGGAACTGTGACCTTGAGGCCATGGATATTAACCTTTTGTAATCTTGTCAATGTATGAGGAAAAAAAAGAAAGGCTGCCCATAAAGGTTTCTTATCCTTTCTGTGGTACGTGTCATTGACTGTCTGCTTTACAGCTGTCAAGTCAGCAGTCTTCCTCATGACTGTACAGCCCATAGTATAATATGATTCTAAAAAAAACAGTCTGTGTCATTTGGAGTAGTATGATTTTCTGAGAAATTGAATTATGGGCTTTTATTAGAAAAGCTTAAAATATATAACTGTGTAAAATATCAGTTTCATTTTTTAAATTAATTACTAAACTAACTTTCTAATTTGATTTTAATTTGCCAAGATCCACATGTACATTGGAAAATAAGAACAATCGCACTGTTAGAAGTAGCCATAGTTAAATAAAAGTTAATTCACCATAAAACAAGCACAACAAATAAAGCCTAACCTGGTTTTCAGATGATGAGTATTATTGTTTTTAACCTGGAATTTTTGTCTTTTCTTTAAGATTCTATTTTAAGAACTGGCATGGCACCACAGAAGGAGAGTCTCCAGTTTGGAGACACTGCCTCAATAAACTCAGAGGACAGAGCCCACAGAAAACACCAGAGGGAACGCCGCTGCTTGACGTTGGTTCCCTTGAATACCTTTATTTCCAGGTGTGTGCTGAGAAGGTTTAGCTTTTACACAAGTCATCATTTTTAACTTATCTAGTTTGATCCTTTCTGTTCTCATGTCCAATTTTAACCTCTTCCTGTTTTTTTTTTTTGTTGTTGTTGGTGTTCTTGTACGAATGGTGTCAGATTTAATTCTAACACTGATCATGTTTGTTTTTGCACAGTGCCAACATGATTTTCAAACGGGCAAGGCTCCCCTGAGGGCAGCCCAGTCAGAAGCCGAGCAACATGAGATAGAAAATGAATGTTTGGGCATGGCCGTGCTTGCCATTACTCACTATGCCAAGGACATCGGTATACCCTTTTCAGCAGCTTCCCGTGAGATGAGGTAATATCCGATACTCAATGTACAAGCATATGAAATTTGTTCTTTCTTTATACCTCACTTTTCCTAAGACAGTTGACATTTATTTACCATGTTTCCTAAGATAAAACAGGAGATTTGCACAGGTAAGTTAAAATATTCTTTTTATCTTAATCCCACCAGTTACAAGCGTTTCATCCCGGAGTCACTGAACTCCATCATAAAGCAGCGGAACATCCTGACCCGCATCCGCATCAGCAACGTGTTCAAGAAATTCCTTGCTGAATTCAACACCCAAACAGTTGGGGAGAGCAACATCACCTGCTATGATCTGAAGATCAAATACCTGGCCACCATGGAGGGGCTGACCAGCAGAATGGGCTGCGAGCTCTTTGAGCCCGTCTCCCTGGCTATAACACAAGAGAAGGAACTCTCCAATGGAGGTTACTATGGTAAGAATTCATGTAATTTTATCATCAAAGAAAATCCAAGAAAGCACAATTGCTACCTGGCTTCAACTCGTACTTATAGAGTAAAGACTTATCTTTTTCACTCTGGAGGAAAGCATTCAATATTTTTTCTTACAAACAAAAGGCTTTTATCATGGGGCGTTTTATACTACCTGCTGTGTCAGTTTCTACTTGTTTAAGGGACATTTTAAAAAGCTTTTCATTTTAGTATAATTTCTTTGAGATGTACTCAGTTTGTCATAAGAAATTTGGTAATGTACCTCTATTAAATTATATTTAACAGTTCTAGGACAATTAGAGGTATTTTAGTTTACACTTTGATAATTTGTCATGTTTCATAAAGGTTAAGCGACAAATTAACCTTTATTTGTTGGTTAATTTGTAAAGGCATAAAATGAGATTAATAAATACAAAAAAAAATTATCGTGAAATTGGTAAATGTTTAAATCATTTTATTTAATAGACAATGTATAAAACATGTCATCAAATTATTAAATGCAAACTAGTTTAGTCTTAGTGTGAGGATAAATTAGTGGTGTGAACCTAGTTCAATAAACATTTAAATAAATGACCTAATTTATTTATTTAATGTATGGTACATTTAATTACCATACATGACAAAAATTGAATTACATGTAATTAATGAGCTCTTTTATGCATAGTTTATTGATATAGGTTGAATTCAGCTGAACAAATTCAGTTGAATATTTGAAGTACTGAATGGTTTGAATGGTCAAAATATCTATTTTATTATGAACCCAACCTGACTCTCTTTATTTACAAAATCTTTGTACCTGAAGACAAATAAAACATTTGGAAAAATATATGGTTTTGTACATATATTTGTAATATATTTTGTATATATTTACACATTTAAACATTTTGTTTCCAGGGTACTATAACCAGAGCCAGCTGCAGACAAAATGTCAGAATCAGAACTTGGAGGCAAGCAGTGACATGCAAGTTCTTGTCATTGGCACCACCGGCATTTCCTGGAGGCAAAAACCAGCAGCTGTGAGTAAACACAAACAAAATGTCAGGGATCTCTTGTTTTATGAGTGGGCGTGTCTTAACCATAGGGCTGCAATGATTGAAATATTTTGTAAGTACACTATGTTGCCATTAATATGATTGAATTCAAGTGCTTTCATCACTTCAAATGCTGCAGGTGTAACCCAGACATGTAGTAGTATACCACCATACGACATGTGGAGGCTGAGGGTCATGATGCCCAGAGGTCACCAACCTTTATTCTAGCTAAATCGGTAGCTACAGAAGTTAGACATGGCCCTTTTGTTCTAGAGATAGTAATTTTTAATGTTTCAGCATGCCAAGACATTCTGAACATTACTCTGGGGTTATGCTGCTTCCTGTTCAAGCATGACTATGCTCTATAGCCATGTTTGACTATGGTACCAGTTTGTTTTTATTGTGGGAAAAGGAAAAGACTTCAGGATCCTGACCTCAGCCTGATCTGACACCGCTTGGATAAATTAGATTGGAAATTGCAAGCGAGGCCTTTTTCTAAATCACCAGTAAATCACAGATCCAAACTTTTGGCAATATGGTGTATCTGATTAATTTAAGAGTAGATGTTTATTGATATCAGTCCAGTTATTTCTTCAAAATCAATGCTATGATCGAAATCTCAGTAGCAAGTGAGTGAAATAAAATAAGAACATTATAATGCCTTATGCTGACATTGACTTAAGCATGTTTACTCTTCCCCGTCCCCCCATTCTGATTGTGTATTAGGTGAATCCTATATTTCAATGTGGTTCTAGTTAATCTTGAGTGAACAAAATTACTGCTTTGGATTCTTAGCTTTGTGCTTTCAAACCTAAGAAACAGAAGGAATGTTTCTCTGTACCAACCCCAGTTGGCATAGTGTATAATAGCGTTTCCCAAGCCTGGTCCTCGAGGCACACTGCCCTCCATGTTTTAGTTGTTTTTCTGCTTCAGTACACAGTTTAATTGAGGGGTGATTAACAACATTTGACTGAACTGCAATCATTTGAATCAGGCGTGTTAAAACTGGGAATCATCTAAAACATGCAGGGCAGGGTGCCTAGAGGATTGAGGATTGGGAAAAACTGGTTTGTAATACAGACTTTTAAGCCATTTGCATGTTAATGGACTTCAATTTAGAAAATGGCATAATACAATGGCTTAAATCAGGATACTTCTAATGAACCAACAGCTAAAGATTTAGTTGATACTTTCCCTTAATTGGGCAAACAGTCCAGCTATAGACATTATATTGGTGTCATTGACGAAAGTTGTTGATTTGCAGAATGTCATTACCGAATAAAAAACTATTTTTAAGCCATGTTGAATTTGTGAAACAGGTGCCAGTGATGCCCAAAGACAAAAGCAAGTCGAAGAGCAAGCAGGATGAAAAACAGAAGAACAGGAATAAGGAGACGGATGATGGCTGGGTGGTTTTTTGTGATTTCCATATGATCACACACACAGTCATCAAAGAGACAACAGTCACGATCATGAGACAAGACAACAAGAAGATGGTGAGACCAATACACAAACACATCTGTGAAGTATTGTATACTACACATAAACAAGGTTTTATGTACTTATGACTAATGCCCAACAAGTTCCCTAAAGTTAATTTAATTTGGTTATTAAATTCTTGAAACTTAAAACTTGTTTTGATTCATCACATACAGACATATTTCAACTTTTTGTTTATGTTTGTAGCTCACAGCTAATACAAAACCCCAAAACCAGTTTCCAGGAAATTGGAATAAGTCTTTTTCCAAAGGAGGGAGAGGACTGAACTGTCACTTCCCCGTTTCCCAATCTTAAGTTAATGGAGACCCAGAGATTGTTTGAAGAGCCTTTTCATCTGGTCGTGTTGTTCCACTGAAATTTATCACATTTTATGTATCTGTATCGTTTCCCTGACGGTAGCAGTACACACAGTTTGTGTCCTGGGTTGGTGGAATCAGCGGCAATACAATCAACCTTCCTTTGCAGTCTGCCAGTGTATATTAGATCCAGGTTGAGTAGCTGACTCCTCACGATCCACTGGGCAGTTTTCACCACCCAGGCCAAATTCTTTTTTTCCTCGACTGTGCAGTTGTCGTACCGCACAGTCATGCTGAGGCAGAAGATGCTCTCAATCACGGCTCTGTAGAAGTTCTTTAGCAACAGAGCGGGAAGTCCAGTGGTTTTCAATTTCCTGAGGAAGAAGAGTCTTTGCTGGGCCTTCCTCTTCAGAAAAGGGGTGTTCAGTGACCAGGTCAGGTCTCTGAAAATTAAAATTAAGATTTCATTATCTGTAGGCAATAATTGGTAAATTATTAGAATTTACATTTTGTAAATGTTGTGTGTTTAGAAATTGTATTAAATTGGGGTTGTAATCCACTCCTTATTATGTTTCCCCTGCAAATGTGCACAAAACTTTTTTGATATTGTGGTAATATCAAAAAAGTTTTGTTGTATTTCGCAAAACTTTGCAGATTTGCGAAATACTAAAATTCCGATACGCTGAAAACCACCTCACCATTACTCAAAAACTTTTCATTGAAAAAGGTTTTTTCATCCAGCAAATTTATTTTCATAATTCCAGTTTGAGCAATTTTTACGTTCAATAGAAACACAGCAAATTACTACGGAGTCTCCTCCCACAACATCCCTAACAGCCCCATGCTGGACTAATGTGAAAGATGAGTCCAAGCAGTTATTGGTTAAAGACAGTTTAAAGCAGTGTTTCTCAACCCTGGTCCTCACCGCCCCCCTGTCCTGCATGTTTTAGGGATTTCTCTTCTGCCACACACCTGAATTGTATCTCTGGGTGATTAACAGGCTTCTGTAGTACTTGGTGCTCATGCAATCATTTGAATCAGTTGTTCGGGAATAGATGAAAGGCACATCTAAAACATGCAGAGTAGGAGGGTGGTGCGGACCAGGGTTGAGAAACACTGGTTTTAAGCTTGCATCCTGTGGCCAACTGCAAGTGATGACTAACAGTGATGTCAGAATTCCTCCTAAAATGACTTTGGACTGAGTAACATTTAGCCTCCATGAAAATGATACTTAAGGAGTGCCTGATGGATATTGTCTTCACTTCCATTAAAATACCAATTAATTCTTTTTCCCTCCAGGAACTCCAACTGCTGTCAAGGGCTGAAGCCATGTCCTTTGTGGCACTTGTTGATGGGTATTTCAGGTTAATTGTGGATGCCCACCATTACCTGTGCAAGGAGGTGGCACCTGCCCTGGTGGTGCAGAACACAGAGACTGGTTGCCATGGACCCATCTGGTTTGTATTATTTTTGTTAATTAGCGTATACTTACCACACTTTTATTGAATATGGTGTTTGTACGTCTTTGAGCTTGATGCTTGTGTTTTCCTGTACAGCGAGAGATAAAACACTGTAACATTAAGTCAGTCTAAAGTGAAGAAAATACCCACAATGTAGCAGATAAAATTTGTATTCCTTCTTTTTTTTTTTTTTTTTTGCAAAGACTTACTTCAGTCAGTTTTTACTGTAATAATATACTGCACTTGAAAGAAATGTTTTTACTTTATTCACTTAATTCTACAAAACCACTTCAGACTGATTTCAGTGAATATAATTAAGTCTGTTTTTCTCCTTCTCCAGTACTGAATATGCCGTCCAAAAGCTGCGACAGGAGGGCAATGAGGAAGGAACCTACATACTGCGCTGGAGCTGTACTGAGTACAACTTCATCATCATCACTGTGGTCTGTCATGAGGTAGTGTAAACCCTCCATGACATTTAGAAGAATTTCTCTGATTCTGTCCTTGGTTTATTTTATTTTTTTTATGGTGTATCAAAAGTTTTTAGAATAATATGCAGGGTTGTCATAATACTAAAATTTTAAACTTGATACAGATACAAAGAAAACCTAAAGTTGGGAATTCACTGTAAAAAATTTTCACTAATGCAGATGTTTTTGGGATTGGGTGGAGTGTAGCTTACGAGAACCTTTTGAGCTTCCAATCAGCAATTGTACAGTCACACAAAAATTCATGGAAAGTTTAAAAAGAGGAATTGCCTTTTAATACCTTTACAAAAATAAAAACAGGATGTTTATTTTTTAATTAGATATACTTTCTCATCTAATCGTTTACTTTTCAAATTTTTACTTTCCTTTTGCATCTTACGCATTTTGGTCTCATCTTTCTCAGTTTTTCCTCATAAAGGTTAAATTATTAATACATTTTCTTCTAGTCTATTTTTCTCTCCGTTTCAATCTGTGTAGCTTTGTTTGATCCTAATTTACTATGTCCCATTTCTATCCAGATTGACAGCTTCACTATCCAGTATAAGAACTTCCAGATTGAGGTGGACTCTGATGGCTACCGCCTGTATGGAACGGACACATCGCGGCCCACCTTGAAGGAGCTGCTGGAGCACCTGGAGCGTCAGTGTCTCCACACCGACAACATGCAGTTCCAGCTCAGGCGCTGCTGCCCTCCACAGCCAAGGGGTAAACAAAAAAAGATAAATGCACTTTAATGGCCGAGCAAGGGGAGATGGTACAAAATACAAAGTTACTGATCTCATAGCAAACCTTGAAATGTAAAACAAAGTTAAAGCAATTTCAATTATAGCTTCACCTCCTCATCAAGTGCATAAATGTTCTTAATTTCAGAACTTCAGTGATGTCATTAAAGTTCAGATGAAGCACTTCTGAAGCTTATAGTCAACCCTGATGATATATTTTTAATCCGATGGATTAAATTACATTTTTGGAGCATTGACTGAAACTTCTGCAGAAAAGTCTGTTTGGCTGCGAAGTCAGAACCAGGAGACTTTTTGTAATTTCATAGTGGTTTACATCTGGATTTACCACGTCTGACTAGGGTGGGACCAAGGGCGTAGGAACGAGTCTGTCATTG